ATTGACATCCTGACTTGTGCAGCCAAAGACAATGAGATAACTGCAGCTAGGGGAAAAAAACTGCTTTATAGAAATGATAAAAGACTAATACAACTATCAGCAGAGATGTTGTAACAGCAATAAATAAAAAATAAAAATAAAAAAGTGTTTTAAAAAAAAAGCTCTCTTTTTATGGCACATCTGTGTAACTCTACCAACAGAAGTCACTATATCTGCCCAGATTTTGTCAATGATTTTTTTAAAACTATTCTATACAGGTCACTGGAGGACAGCCAGCAAAAGGATGATCTCATGTTATTAGAAAAACCTGGCAGATCGTACTTTCCAGGTACTTCTGGTTTTGACATTGATAGGGAATGGATGACGGTTGAGAACTTGGCTTGAGAACTTTCTCGTCGCCATTTCTCCTCCAGGTTCAAATGTTGCAAGATTGTGGAAGTCCAGTTTCCAGCCGGTAATACTGAATTTAGTGCTCCTGGCAGCACTATGAGCTGTGATTATCGGTTATTGACTGTGTTCCAGATTCGTACATAATGGCAATGATGGCTGATGTAGTTTTCTTCGCTGTGTTCCGGGGCAAGGCGTGTACTATTGCTGCTATTTATTTGCTGACTGTGGCTGCAACTTGGCCGAGGACATGTGGAGAAGAATGACGAGGAATAGTTTTAATTTATTCATCGCCCAGCTATTCGTTGAATGAAGCTGATTTTCAGCAATGACCCCTGGTCTCGCAATGTTTTAAGAGGCATGCACCTTAGGCTTTGCCAGATCAAATAGCTGACTGAAGACACTTTGTATGGCTACGGCATTCACTTGAAGTATTCAGCGTATCTGACTCAGTGACTGGAATCACTGGCATAGACGATTGAGCAATTGTGGGCCAAGCTCGTTTGCTGTGATGCCAAAACTGTAACGACTAACTAACCAACTTTCCAGGAACAAATTCCATTATTCTTTATAGAAACAGTAAAGACATACAAATCAAATGTCAATAACCCCCTGTGTGGGTTCCGGGGCCCTATTGTGGGGGAAAACAAGAATAGACCCACTGCCTCCCCAAAAGCATGTCGTAAGAGTCGACTAACTGGGGAGCTTCCTTTGAAGTCGGAGTGCATCTGCCTGAGAGGCAAGGAACCAGCAGTCTGCATTCAAGAGAATCAGATCTGTAAAACTGATGCACATGCAACACTCAGGTTCTGGAACAGGACTGCAGTCCAGAAGTGGACGAACAACCAGAACTTTACTCCAGAATGTACAGCTGGTGAACGCAAAGAAGAAGAAGAAATGTCAATAACAAACTCACATCAATCATTGATAAAATGAGAGCGCATTAAGTGACTACAAAAAATGTTTTCCTTATTCTCACTGTTCTCCCACACTGTCTACAGATTATTTTAGACTCTGCTTATTAAAAAAGTGGCACTGGCAAACATACTGAATATATTAAGCCCCAAATTTCAACTCCTTGTAAATGTAAACACCTTTTCCTTTCTAACCTCTAAATCTTCCTATATCAACTGCTCATGTAAAACATCTGTATAATATCTAGTGGCAACAGTATAAGAGCAAATCAGCTCTTGCCATTGATTTTAGTTACAACAACACTCAAGTGATCAAGGTTTTGGCAGGTTTCTCAGGCTGGTCATGTGATCATGTACAACTCATTGATGATAAGACTGTCTGCTTCAGAATTTGCTTGCAGGTCAAGACTGAAATTATTAGCTGAACATATTTTATGCAGTATTTTATTTTGCTGCGCTAACTGAACTAACTGTTTTATGTTGCTGCGCTAACTGAACTAACTGTTTTATGTTGCTGCGCTAACTGAACTAACTGTTTTATGTTGCTGCGCTAACTGAACTGTTTTATGTTGCTGTGCTAACTGAACTAACTGTTTTATGTTGTTGCGCTAACTGAACTAACTGTTTTATGTTGCTGCGCTAACTGATCTAACTGTTTTATGTTGCTGCGCTAACTGAACTAACTGTTTTATGTTGCTGCGCTAACTGAACTGTTTTATGTTGCTGCGCTAACTGAACTAACTGTTTTATGTTGCTGCGCTAACTGAACTGTTTTATGTTGCTGCGCTAACTGAACTGTTTTATGTTGCTGCGCTAACTGAACTAACTGTTTTATGTTGCTGCGCTAACTGAACTAACTGTTTTATGTTGCTGCGCTAACTGAACTAACTGTTTTATGTTGCTGCGCTAACTGAACTAACTGTTTTATGTTGCTGCGCTAACTGAACTAACTGTTTTATGTTGCTGCACTAACTGAACTAACTGTTTTATGTTGCTGCGCTAACTGAACTGTTTTATGTTGCTGCGCTAACTGAACTGTTTTATGTTGCTGCGCTAACTGAACAAACTGTTTTATGTTGCTGCGCTAACTGAACTAACTGTTTTATGTTGCTGCGCTAACTGAACTAACTGTTTTATGTTGCTGCGCTAACTGAACTAACTGTTTTATGTTGCTGCGCTAACTGAACTAACTGTTTTATGTTGCTGCGCTAACTGAACTGTTTTATGTTGCTGCACTAACTGAACTAACTGTTTTATGTTGCTGCGCTAACTGAACTAACTGTTTTATGTTGCTGCGCTAACTGAACTAACTGTTTTATGTTGCTGCGCTAACTGAACTAACTGTTTTATGTTGCTGCGCTAACTGAACTAACTGTTTTATGTTGCTGCGCTAACTGAACTAACTGTTTTATGTTGCTGCGCTAACTGAACTAACTGTTTTATGTGGCTGCGCTAACTGAACTAACTGTTTTATGTTGCTGCGCTAACTGAACTGTTTTATGTTGCTGCGCTAACTGAACTAACTGTTTTATGTTGCTAACTGAACTAACTGTTTTATGTTGCTGCGCTAACTGAACAACTACTCCCTTTTTTCTAATCAGTTGACCATGTTCAAGTTATTTATCATTATTATATTTTGTTTCAATTTTACTGCTATTGTAAATGTTTTAATGATTATAACATACAATCAACTATTATCACAGATTTCTAAAAATATTTTAAACCTTACCAGACCTGAGGCCCTGAACCTAACTGCCCCCTATACCTGAGCTCCTGGGCATCAACACAATAAAAAAACATGATATACACAAATATTAGTTACATGCAAGCAAGTGGTTACAAAAGGTTGAAACTTGGAGACATTGTAGAAAATAGGTCTACCTTACATCTAGGACTAATATTCCACCTTTGCGTGCAGTTTCACCCAGTAAGATCGGCATTGTTTCACAAAGTGAGCACCAGATGTTGCTGTTTGAGGGACATGCCCCCATTCTCTTACTATCAATCTAGTTCTAAATCTATAATTTTCAAGATTCTCCCCATCACTCGAGCACACACTGACTGTATCACTTCAACTGGGAACATATTCTTTACAAAATTCTGACTCCTCAGAGTCTAAATCAAACAAAGTATCGATCACCTGTTGGACTGTGAAAAGCCTAGACCTACTTTACTTTCCTGTCAAAACGCCTTGTTCATCAGCCACTAGTTTTATTGTGAATTTAAGAAGTTTTTCATGTCAAACCACACAAAGAAAATCGAGACACGTGGGCAGCAATTTGCAATGACCAAGTAACCACAAAGTCTGACCACGATTGGTAAGTTATTTTTAGTTTGTGGCGCATTGTTTTCACATAGTACACAAAGTACCGACATTGAGGGATACTCGTTCAGATGCAGATTAGGAAATTCCAGCAATAACGGGACATCAGTCTGGTAGAGTTAAATTAACTCCTCCCAGTTAGTCAAATATAAACACAGATGTTACCAATGACCACACATAATGTGTTTGGTGCAGCCTGTGTCACTACCTTTATAAATCCACTTTTATGCAAGCATATTTATACTCCAAAAGTCGTAGGTCCCGGATTTTTTTCAAACGTTATGCTGGCTGCCAGGCTAAACCAGCCTTAAATGCATACGGGAAGAATCCTGGAAAGTAAAGGTGGCAACATGACATCAACCACATCAGCAACTGAGAGCTGCTGGTGAGCAAAGGCATCATTACTTACTTTGCATTATTGCTGTGTAGCCCGTTATTTCTGTAGGTCATTCTGCACTAACATATATTTCTGTAGGTCATTCTGCACTAACATATATTTCTGTAGGTCATTCTGCACTAACATATATTTCTGTAGGTCATTCTGCACTAACATATATTTCTGTAGGTCATTCTGCACTAACATATATTTTTTATGGCAAACTGTGGCAGCTGACTTAAAAAAAATGACGGTACTGTTTAAAAAAGAAGCCCCTACATGATGATGATTTTCACATGCTAAAATGTGTCGTCACAAGAGCACATGTAAAGCACTGAGCAATGTCACAACTTTGCAAGCTGACATATGTGTATTTGGCTCTTTACCTCTGACGCTGATTTGAAAGAAACAATTATTTAACATTAACAATTATCGACACTTTTAAACTGATAGATTTGAAGTAGGTAAAAATCAATTGCATTTAACCAGTGCATTCCAGCATATTTCTTACAAATAGAGAAATGATATAAACATATATATTAATATCAAATATTTTATTGTTACTACGTCGCAAGTTGTTCTGAACTGCTCTTACTGTGTACACCAAAGCCTTCATTCTAATTATAAACTATTCATTTATGTACATGTCAGAATAAAGGGGTTGTCATGTATATTAGCATTAACCTGTACGCCTACTTCTTCCCCATTTGTGTCTGCCTGTATAAAAGTAAATTACTCAACAACAGTGGTTCTCACCTCTTTTTCATGTGACCCATTTGTAATATTTGTTAGATTTTTCTCTAGCACAGAGAGTTCAAGTCATCTAACAAAGGATTTCAAAATGGTTGACTGTAATCACATAAGGGTCTATATCTTTCACCCAAGAATCATTTGCTGTTTTACGAATTTGCCTTTACATAAAATAAAGACAGCACAAAAAATGACAAAAATAATGTGACATTGGGTCCAACAAAGTTAAAGTTAGTATCAGCTGCTCTAATCACTGGGTTTTCTTGTCTTCTTTGTCAGAAACTTTGCCGTAAGATGAACCCTTGTGGATTTCAGTCACACCAATCATCAGTCTCACAACAACAGACACTGTGGATCACAAGAAATAAAACAAAAAATTTAACAAACAAACACCCCAATATCACCGATTACTATGGACATTCAATTAAAACAACAACCATTATCATCATAGACCCAACATTAGGACCCCCCCCCCCCCCCCCCACCCCTTCCTTTTTCCCCACACTGGACGGACTGGGGTCTGCTTTGGGGACAGGCCAGGCTAATAGAAACAGACATCAGAAATTATTAATTACACCATAAGGTGAATCAATGACCATGAATAATAACAAGATGACACACAAGTAGACACCACAATGGTGTGGTTTTCCTGTGCCAAGATTCCCCCAGATAAGAAATACAATACCCAACCAAGAAGGAAGCAAATTTATAAGATCAATGATCACTCAATTTGAATTTGAAACAATTCTGTGTGGTTAAAAGGATGGAACAGAATAATCCACCTCCCTCACAAAGATAGCAGACTTACAATTGTGACAGTTTTGGTCAAATTAGTGAAAACTCCAGAACTCAGATAAATAGATGACCTCTGCTCTTGGAGAGAATTCCGTATTGCTTTGATAATTTGTCAAATGTCCACATGGTGAATACCCACAGTAAACTGAATAAGGACTACAGAAGTCACAGGTGAGTGTCAAACGTTGAATATTACTAACAGAGAGACAGGTAATTCAATTTCTCATAAACAGGCAGTAATTCAAATGGAAAAACAAAAGAAACTTACATATAACTACTGCTCCAACTACAAGGCTCTGCTGAAACAGTGTGCCTGACAGGAATATCCTGCCAAGGTACACGAACAGTGGGACACACGTCAATATAGCCCAGAACAGCCACATGATCAGATCATTGATTCGCCGTGGCACCCTCTGAACGCGACCAGGAAATCTGCCGGTCTGGAGGAATTCATCAAAGAGGTCATCCTGAAAAAAGAAATCAATAGAGTGTGTCAATGTCTGTGGGGAGTCAAAAGTGTAGCATGCTGCATCATGCAAAAAGTAACAATAACAGTGGATTTGACACCAATAACACCGCCAGCAGATGTGCCAATAGCAACATGACCAGCAGATGTGCCAATAGCAACATGACCAGCAGATGTGCCAATAGCAACATGACCAGCAGATGTGCCAATAGCAACATGACCAACAGATGTGCCAATAGCAACATGACCAGCAGATGTGCCGATAACAACATGACCAGCAGATGTGCCAATAGCAACATGACCAGCAGATGTGCCAATAGTATCATGACCAGCAGATGTGCCAATAGTATCATGACCAGCAGATGTGCCAATAGCAACATGACCAGCAGATGTGCCAATAGTATCATGACCAGCAGATGTGCCAATAGCAACATGACCAGCAGATGTGCCAATAGCAACATGACCAGCAGATGTGCCAATAACAACATGACCAGCAGATGTGCCAATAGCAACATGACCAGCAGATGTGCCAATAGTATCATGGCTAGCAGATGTGTCAATAGTAACATGACCAGCAGATGTGCCAATATCAACATGACCAGCAGATGTGCCAATAGCAACATGACCAGCAGATGTGCCAATAACAACATGACCAGCAGATGTGCCAATAGCAACATGACCAGCAGATGTGCCAATAGTATCATGGCCAGCAGATGTGCCAATAGCAACATGACCAGCAGATGTGCCAATAGTATCATGACCAGCAGATGTGCCAATAGTATCATGGCCAGCAGATGTGCCAATAGCAACATGACCAGCAGATGTGCCAATAGTATCATGACCAGCAGATGTGCCAATAGTATCATGACCAGCAGATGTGCCAATAGTATCATGACCAGCAGATGTGCCAATAGCAACATGACCAGCAGATGTGCCAATAGTATCATGACCAGCAGATGTGCCAATAGCATCATGACCAGCAGATGTGCCAATAGCAACATGACCAGCAGATGTGCCAATAGCAACATACCAGCAGATGTGCCAATAGCAACATGACCAGCAGATGTGCCAATAGCATCATGACCAGCAGATGTGCCAATAGCATCATGACCAGCAGATGTGCCAATAGCAACATGACCAGCAGATGTGCCAATAGCAACATGACCAGCAGATGTGCCAATAGCAACATGACCAGCAGATGTGCCAATAGCATCATGACCAGCAGATGTGCCAATAGCATCATGACCAGCAGATGTGCCAATAGCAACATGACCAGCAGATGTGCCAATAGCAACATGACCAGCAGATGTGCCAATAGCAACATGACCAGCAGATGTTACAATAGTATCATGACCAGCAGATGTGCCAATAGCAACATGACCAGCAGATGTGCCCAATAGCAACATGACCAGCAGATGTGCCAATAGTACATGACCAGCAGATGTGCCAATAGTATCATGGCCAGAGATGTGCCAATAGCAACATGACCAGCAGATGTGCCAATAGCAACATGACCAGCAGATGTGCCATATGTATCATGACCAGCAGATGTGCCAATAGTATCATGACCAGCAGAGTGCCAATAGCAACATGACCAGCAGATGTGCCAATAGTATCATGACCAGCAGATGTGCCAATAGCATCATGACCAGCAGATGTGCCAATAGCAACATGACCAGCAGATGTGCCAATAGCAACATGACCAGCAGATGTGCCAATAGCAACATGACCAGCAGATGTGCCAATAGCAACATGACCAGCAGATGTGCCAATAGCAACATGACCAGCAGATGTGCCAATAGCAACATGACCAGCAGATGTGACAATAGTATCATGACCAGCAGATGTGCCAATAGCAACATGACCAGCAGATGTGCCAATAGCAACATGACCAGCAGATGTGCCAATAGTATCATGACCAGCAGATGTGCCAATAGCATCATGACCAGCAGATGTGCCAATAGTATCATGACCAGCAGATGTGCCAATAGCAACATGACCAGCAGATGTGCCAATAGTAACATGACCAGCAGATGTGCCAATAGCAACATGACCAGCAGATGTGCCAATAACAACATGACCAGTAGATGTGACAATAATATGTGCAAAAAAAAAAGGTTTAACTTCACAAATCTGCCTCAAATGTGTGAACACAAGGCTGGCTAGCACATGTACATGATACAGCCCTAAAGCAACCTTCAACAGGAAGATCAGCTGCCATAAGAGACATTTAAACACTCAATACACGAATACATTTTACCTTCCTCTTGAACAGCTGCCTTAACCAATCAGCACATTCCTCGTCTGTTTCCATGGGAACACTATCTATTGGTATCCGCCTGTTGATTACAAGATAAAAGTTATCTTTTTATACATAAAAACTAGATTATTTGAGATTTAGAGAAGAAAACAAAAAAGACGATTAAACAGGAGAAATGACCATCAGATATATCAAAATACTCACCAGTTTTACACCTTGAACCCCCACCCGCACTTTTTTCAATAATAAGAAAACAAACATGGGTCTTTAAACTGGCCAACAATGTTGGCACTGGAGTTAGTTTGGATGATTTCTCTAAGTTCGTAAATTAAGTGCAGGGCCTTTTTCCATGCCTTTAGGCATATAGGGCTAGACCTATAATTTTGTAGACTAATGAACACATGGTGGGTGATGTGGTCAGCATCATGCCTACTGCCTTTACTTCCCAGGACTTTACCTAGTACCCACTCAAGGCAAGGCCAGCCTGGGAGCCAAGGTGATTTCTGAAAAAAGTTTGACTCCATCGAACCCATGACCTTCAGTCGAGCGTTGTGAGCTAGTCTGTTTTCGTAGATATTCAGCGGTCAGAGAGCCAGAGAGGTCACAATGAGATTTATGGCAGCTAAGCCTAAAGATTTTACCTGACGAAAGTGACATTTAAGATCACAGACTTGGGAGAAACCTTGACAAACAGCCAGGAAATCCTCTGTCAATGTTATCTAATGATTGTGTATTACCAAATGCCCCCCCCCCCCCACACACACACTGATAAACCCATTGCACTCTTTGAGATTCTATACACATGATGAAACTATCCACACATGACAAAACTACAGACATGAGAAAATCAGAACAAATCTTCACAAATGGAAAAACACATGATAAGGTAACAAACAAATATACATACATACACACACACACACACAAATAAAGCAAAGGGGACTTACTCTGCATGAAAGTGAGCTCTCAGTGACCTTCCACTGATGACATTCATTAAAGTTGGCTCTGGCCCGTCAGAAGAGAATCCCACTGTGCTATTTAAGATTGTTGGAACTGTAACAATAACAAGTTCATTACTGTATGCTTCACATTAGGAAAAGGTTTCAACAGTGATTTATATACTTTTAAGGTCAAGAGAATATCTAATGTGTTACAACAGGATCTTATGCCGCAGACCCGAGTTTAACTCCTGGTAAGGTGATGGAGGTTTTTCTGTCAGTGGCAAAAATAAACCTGCACAGTCCGTGGCAAAAGAACTAGCTATGAGGCCCTTAATCTTCAGGCTTATCATTCCCCTGTCTACACTGCTCTAAGCAGCGGTAAATACAGACAGTAGTGACAGCGACAGTTTATTTGCAACTGCTTGAAAAAAGTTGCTAAGATAATGTCTTGACAGTTGTCAGATGGGAACAAAAACTCAGCAAGCTGAAAGAGTGCAAGAAAGTCATGGCAATGCCATGTAACGACAGCAGGTAAGCAGTACCCTTGTCCTGCATACCCTGTGTGGGGAGCTCACAAATGTGTTTCGTAGAATAAGTGTTGTGTTCGAAGACTTGATGGACCCCACCCATTATCTGTCCATGATTCAGTATGTTTGCACATGAGTAACAAGTAAATATAATGTGTTTAGAACAACAGTAACAAGTGATGGGCTCTGAAAATTCAACTTATTCTACTGCCACGTTACCTAAGAAATGCCATTAAATGGTTCAAAACTGGTCACAGCAGATAAGGACAGACATCCCTAACTAGGTGAACCATCTACACAAATTCTATAGACATGAAGAACCTGGACTTACAGCGCCCCTTCAAGCCACGCATAGATGTCACAAAACCCTTTGGTCGCGGTAACAACACATGCTTCAGCAGAGGATACCCCTTGGCTTTACAGATTTCCAGGCTGGCTTTGTGTTTATCTTCTGTGAATCGAGTCCCCTCCGGAAACAGCAGCAGCTACAACAAAGCAAACAAACAATATTCAGTCTATGATTTCTTCTGTATGAACACTTTACAGAAATCATAAAATGATTTTTTTTTAAATTCTAAACTGAAAAACAAAATAAAAGTTTGATAAATAAAATATCAGGATGATGTACTTCTCTACTCCACAATGTGTTAAAGGGAAAGTTTGATGGCAAACAATTCATAGAAGAGAGCTTAATAAATGACTACGTGGAACGTTGCCCAGAATAAGAGGACACATACTCCAACACTGCCCTGAATGTGACACATCAAGGCAAACCTCTTCACTAAAAAGGGGTAACAGTGGAACGTAAGCTCTAAGGAACAAATGAATGAACTAAAATTGATGGTGACATTTATAGAGGAAACTTATTTTTGGTGAGAGAAAGAGGAATAAGAATAAAAAGGATGAGAAAGCAGAGGTTGCTGTTCTATGCATCAAGGCAAGAGATCCAATTTAGATGGCAAACGATCAAAACCCAGCAGATTTCCCTGCTCAAAACTTTACCCTTAGCCTTTCAAAACGTTCACTATGTCATAGGTCAAACGGCCTGTCTCTGGTGCTGTCATATGTAAATCATCCATCACATCTTAAATCCATCTTCTTGTGGTCTTCCTCTTTTTTGTTTTGCTGAAATACTCTTTCCCACCCTATGAGTATCTATCTACCCCAGAATCAAGTCTTTTTTTGCATACCCAATACTTCATTTTCTTTCATGTTAGCTCTCTCTGCTGGCACCTTTCCATCTTTCCAGTGTGTCTGTTATCTTTGTAACCAATAAAATTCAATACAGAGTTTGTATTGAATAGATCAGTTTCTTCTCTCTCTTTCACAAGCAATTTGTAAGGCTTTTCTGTCACATTGATGTTCAAAGGTACATACGTGTTTTTCAACTTGCTGAACGTCAAAGTTGTAAACGTAAACCACAAAACTACATACCAACCATCCTTTAAACCATGTCACCCCAATGACTTAGAAAACGCAATGCCAATGACTCTTAATAACGGAATTCCCAACAAATTCTTAATTTTCTTTTGTGTACACAGTCCCGCAGCACCCCCCCCCCCCCCCCCCCCCTCACCACAAAATGTACAATTCCATTTATCGATGAAATCAATATCAAATTCCATCACAGAACAGAGAAAGTAATCAGTAAACATGAATGCAGCAGGGAATTCACTGGGTCAAATCTTTGCAAGCCTAAACAAAAATATTTATGGTGAATTTTTTTTTTAACCGTGACCCAGTCACAGGTTAACACTGTGATAAATGAGGAAATTATACAACATCCTAATTTCTATTATTATTTCACAAGAAAACTATTTTTCAGTAAACTGAGTCATCCATGGCCCTCTAAATGTGCGCATAGCTATAAGCAGTAACAGTGCTATCAGCCAGGCAACTATAGCTTGACTATTGGGTTCAACAGGAAGGGTTGGTTTTGTAGTTTCTCTGGAAAGGTGAAAATGGAATGCAGACGGAAAAAAGCTTTGAGCTGAGTTGATTCAAGAACCCACATCACAGCACTCAGGGCATTCCCATAAGAGCTCCGTCTCAATCCTCAGCAGCCAGTGAAGAGTTCCGATACTAATGGTGCCAGTAGAATTCTAATTAAACGATCAAATCAAAGAATAAAAAAGCTTACAGTGACGTAATAGCCATCGGGGTAATCTGTAGCCTGCTGCAGATCCTTCTGTATGATTTTCTCATCGTGCTCCCATTCACGCTTGAGGAAGATGCTCTCCGTGAAGTACCAGGCCCAGCCAATCAGCGGCACATATTTCAGGATTTGCTTCCCATAAATCTTTGTATTCTGTAAAGGTATTAGGCATGTAAAACAATCATTAAAACAGTGTGAATTAATGAAACAAAATTAACATTGTTGCATTTGCTCTGTCTCCTTTCTCAGAAGCCAGCACAGAGTTCCCATGCTAACTGTGTCAGCTGCAACTTGATTTGAAATCTGCATGTGTTTTCCTCTCAGTGCTGATTAATGTCCAGGTTCTCAACTTGACCCTTCCCAGCACCAAATCAGTTTTTCAAGGTATGGATACTCTCTGATCTGTTGTAGTATCCAATAACCTAGAGAATCTACACCGAGTCTACTAGATTTTAAAACAGCTCACCACTCACAGAAGCAGAAACAGCCAGTCTATCAGCCTGCTCTTTACTTCACACACTACAATTTCCTAGAAATAAATCCATGATATGCTTCGGATCTGAGTCCTATCAAGTGATGCAAGCCACTTTATGCGTCTCAGTTTTTTACTTTGTGAAGCATACTCCATGAACCGGGCTGTGTTGCTCACAAGCCACTTGAAAGCTGCTGTTACTGTCTCCACCTCCATTCTCATACTGGATGCTATGATATTATATGCGTAAATTCGCCTTTGAACAAAACCTCCACCCACTCTTTTTTTTTTTTTACCTCTAACTACAGATTCATGCATGTATACTAACAAGTCTGAGCTGTTTAAAAACATGAAATGTAAAATAAAACTTTGATTTGCTGACATGGTCCCTTGTACAATGGTGGGCAATGTCCTCAGTGTCATATCAGCAAACTTTGTGGTACAAGTGATTTCATTCCACAGGTTCTGAATTCACAGGAAGACTGAGCTTCAACTCTTACGTATAATTAATATCTGAGTTGAGCTTCAACTCTTACATGTAATGAATATCTGAGTCGCGCCTCAACTCTTACGTATAATTAATATATGAGTTGAGCTTGATCTCTTACGTATAATTAATATCTAAGTTGAGCTTGATCTCTTACGTATAATTAATATCTAAGTTGAGCTTAATCTCTTACGTATAATGAATATCTGAGTTGAGCTTCAACTCTTACGTGTAATGAATATCTGAGTCGTGCCTCAACTCTTACGTATAATTAATATATGAGTTGAGCTTCATCTCTTACGTATAATGAATATCTGAGTCGAGCTTCATCTCTTACGTATAATGAATATCTGGGTCGAGCTTCATCTCTTACGTATAATAAATATCCGAGTCGAGCTTCAACTCTTACGTATAATGAATATCTGAGTCGATTACAAGTTCCTCAACTTTCAAATGTGATCGCCCGTTGTACTGAGAACTTATCTACTACTCCTTCTGCAGTGTTTCTGGCATACTACTTGCTTGCTTGTTGTACCCCACAGGACATAACACAAGTGATAAACACTCGGTGACATACAGTGCCACTATGCAGATGAGGATCACCCGTGGAAGGGTCCCAGAAACCCCCTTCAGCGGTTATGGCCACAATTGTGGCCCAGCTATATTCAGGTCCTCCAACAAAAGATAGGGGTGGGGCTTCAAATAATGAAAAATTGCTTTCCACAAGGGGACGACTAGGATTAGTTATCTCTGGCATATTTAGAAACACTGGTTACTTCATGTACATCAATCAAACTGCTACTGGCAGCTGGCGAATAAAAACTATGGGCTGGCTGCTGAAGATGTGGACAGAGCACTTAAGGCAGGGCTAATCGACTGGCGACCTGCACAGGCCTAGCAAGTGGCCTATGGATCATTACCAGTCGTACTGTATTAATGGTCTTTCTATGGTGGGGCTAGGACATGTGGCTAGTAAGATTTCCCATTTTCAAAATTGTGGCTGTTGGCTAAACTTAGTTGTGGGAATGTCCGGAGTGCCATGACATTGGTTCTCAACTCAGCTCACTTCAGGCACCTAAAACATGCTGAGAGAGGGAAACTAGACACCTGTACACAGCTTACTTCAGGCACCTAAAACATGCTGAGAGAGGGAAACTAGACACATGTACACAGCTCACTTCAGGCATCTAAAACATGCTGAGAGAGGGAAACTAGACACCTGTACACAGCTTATTTCAGGTACCTAAAACATGCTGAGAGAGGGAAACTAGACACCTGTACACAGCTTACTTCAGGCACCTAAAACATGCTGAGAGAGGGAAACTAGACACCTGTACACAGCTTACTTCAGGCACCTAAAACATGCTGAGAGAGGAAAGCTAGACACCTGACCACAGCTTACTTCAGACACCTAAAACATGCTGAGAGAGGAAAGCTAGACACCTGAAAGCTTACTCCAGGCACCTAAAACATGCTGATAGAGGGATGCTAGACACCTCAACTCAGCTTACTTCAGGCACCTAAAACATGCTAAAAGAGGGAAGCTAGACACCTTAACTCAGAAACAATGATCTAGCATGAGTGAAATCTCAACATTTAACACTTCTGCTAATAATGTATCTATACTGGCCATATAAAAGCAGTGAAACCCTTACCCCCAACATCTGGAACCTCTCAGACAGTGACCAGGCCACCAGCCAGTCAATGTCATACTTGTGGTTCATGATGCAAAGGATGTGCTCCTGTCCTATGTACTTCAAGTCTTCATCCTTCATGTACATGGAAATATCCATGCCGGACCACCACTGAGCCAGGAATGTCATTTCTGTCAACGAGATCATCCAATCACAAACTATTTCACAGTTTACAACAGTGATATTCAATAACTAACTAGTTCACACACAAAACAGAGATATCCAATCACTAACTAGTTAACAACAGAAATAGTGACATCCAATCACTAAACAGTTCAGAAAAGAAAGAGTAATATTCAATCCCTGACTAGTTTACAACAGAAAGAGTGACCACCAATCATTAATTAGTTTAAAACAAGAAACAGTGACCACTAATCATTAACTAGTTTACAATGGTAATAATGAAACATTCAAACATCCCATGTCTTCATCTGTACTTGGCAAATGCTGCTAAACCCATATTTTGTGTACAGACAATGGTGGGCAATGTGCTGGATGTCCTGTCAGCCATCTTTACTTCTCATGAATTTTCCCATTTTTGGCGTGGGTATGTCCAGAACTGAGGTCATTAAATAAATCTGTCTCAGTACCAACTACAGCCTATGACCTGAGGGCCAGCAAGCAATGCTAGCCACTGTACTATTGTGACTTCCAGTGACACTCTATCACTGTAACTTCAAGTGACACACCCTACTATTGTGATTTCCAGTGACACTGTAGTATTGTGACTTCCAGTGACTCTTTACTATGTAAGTTTTGATAATCACACAATAAAGCCGAGGTGGGATGGGGGGGGGGGGGGGGGGGGGTAATAGTGTGTGTGTATCTTGGTGGACAGAGGTTTAACTGCAAACTGCTAACTGGTGATTTTGTTATGCTTCTATACATTCTGCATCAGTCAGTGCAAACTTTGTAACATAGCGATAAGAGGCTGTAAAGCATCTTATGTGGTTGTTTTCTGCTTTAATTCTTTCTATAAAACTTGTCAACTATTACGGTGTTTCAGTGTTTCTCTTTTCATAATGTGGCTAGAAAATATCAACTGTCTGCTTCTTTCTATTGTGAATTGTCTTTGTGTGTTAGCCTATTTCAAAACATTAAAATACTAAATTTAACAGAAAAATCTAGTATTTTAATGTTAAGATAACAAAACTCTTTTTCTTTTCCTATATAAAAAATATGAACCTTACCACTCTATTTAAAAAAAAAAAAACTTACGTGACCAATGAGAATATGCCAGGTGTACACATACTTTGCGGTACAGGTGTCTGTTAAAAGGCCAGATGATGCAGGAACACAACATGAGGAATGTCACAATCAGCCCCGACGTGACGAAGATATATCCCAGGACCAGCTGGACCAGCAGCAAGGATTTCAATTGTTGAAAGAGACCCATGGTGATTGAATGGAAGTATCAAACCTTTTTCTGAAAGTTTGAAAACATTTCTTTAAACATTCAAGCAATAAATACACTGCATATTCTTTTACTTCAAATTGTTTGGGAATTAAAACCTGAAATTCATGAGAACTAGTTACAGTGAACAGCATTAGTCCTCAATAGTACAGTTAATGATCCTAGTTGTTAGTTACTTGACAGATTATCTTCACTGCACGTCAAACCACTCAGTCCATAAGTGCTCGGATCCCCTCCTCAGTAAATCCCACAGCGTGTAGCGGCTGACGACACAAGTTTTGTGTTGGTTTATTATTCTTCTTTGGCTACCCGCGTAGTGTTCTTGTTTTACGACATCCTGTTTAACTTGCTGTTCTTGCAGTCTGACCATGGTTGCAGATTCACAGTTCTTAATTGGTTCAAGAGCATTCAGTATATCAGCCTGGTCCATCGCTTGTTCGGCTTTCACAGTAGTCTTACCTGCAAGTCTATCAGCTTGCTCATTTCCTTGTACACCTACATAGTCTGGCATGAAAATGAAACTAATCCTTGTCAGCTGTGAACACTGCAGATCCACTAACCACTGCCTTCAGACCCAGCCTTTTTTTTTATCTTCCTAAACATAATCATTGAGTCACTGAGAAAGCTTGCTCCAGTGAAATTCTGTCTCTAGCTTTGTTACTACTGGTTTAGTCTCAGCCATGACCTCCATAGTCATACTGTAGTTACGGCAAAACCTCCAGAATCTTCCTTCACAACTCTCCCTCCAACCTGAGCCATGAAAGTCCACAACCTTCTTGCATGGTAGATGACAGACCCATCTGTGTAAATGTCAGCATCACACTCTAGAGCAGTGATTCCCAAACTGTGCGCCCTGGGAAGCCGCGACCTCTTCAAAGATACGTACGTTTTTTTTTTAAAAATCTCTTACATACTAATAGTAATACTTTTCCTTAGGTCAGGGCACCATGGAAAAATGTTTAATTGAAAAAAGCACCGCGACTAAGAAGAGATTGAGAAACACTGCTCTAAAGCATTCTCAAAAATCAAGGCTTGGATCTTCTGCTGCCACAGCAGTCGGAGTCTGTTGTCTGGATGTCTAGTTGGATGCAAACAGAAAAGGATGTACACTACAGCACTCTGAAGGCACTTGCACCCACTCCACACTGAGTGAACATACCTGTAAAAATAATATAATGTCCTCGGACTGACCCATCCACGATTTCCCTATTTTTAACCTGCTGCCTTCTGTCTTCAGGACTGTAGTTGTGTGAAAGCTAAGTCACAGTTGAGTCTACAGTAAAAGTTCATTGAAAGAACACGTGTAGCGTGTGAGGATTAGTAATTGAATATTGACACAAAAACACCAATAATTTCAATAATGAACTACTAAATTAACTAAACGGCGAACATTCCAACAATCACAATGACTACAGACTACAGGCAATTTTGAAGCCAAGCTATCTGCTGGTTATAAAAGCAAAACATGGGGATTTTACTCGAATAATTAAAGACAATTATGGTCGAGAAAATGTTAAACACAAAATAATGTACGATCGACATGAATGTGGTAGTAAACAAAAGACACAAGGAGTAGAGCAAGGAGGAGAATTCCGCAGACATCAACCTACCTCCTTCCTCATGCCATTGCAAACGTGACCTTTGACCCTTCACCCACTTCACCATGTCGTAATGTTATACATATTTTGTTGCAGTCCAAAAGAAGTTGGTACTGTTTCTCTCAGTAACACTTATGGGCCCACTTCTGACTGCATACTATAATAATACTCAAGTTCAGGTCTCAAACTAGCGGCGATGATTTTACGATAACCCATATGATGATGCAATGCCCACCTACTGCAGACGCCGCATGGAAAACTGCGATCAAACCAGGCGGCCCTTCTACTACAACACCACATCAAGTAATATATTATTTAGATATAGTACCAAAGTATTTTACAGGTTGGTTAAAAAAAAAACATTCTCTTTAATTTTTATTTGTCACCGTCTTGATAGGCATAGTTTTTTATCTCAGGAATTCTGTGAGCTCTGTCAAAGATTTTGTGCTTGTGTGAAAGTGTTTCCACGAAGCGCTGGTTGCATTGAAAGTTCAAAGTAAATAGCTGGAGAACGCGGAAGATCAGCTGTAGTCAGGTAATTTAATAATATTTTCTTATTTCTTTCTTTCATGTTCACTAATGTTGAACAAGCAGTCTCCGGGTATGTTTATTCCAGTTATCGCTGTCGCTTATTTACATAATACATAATGAACTCAGCCGTGATGAAGCATGGACTTATACAACGTCACAGATCAACTCCCCCGCCGGCTCGATGATCTCGACGAGATCCGTTAATGAGTAATCATCTCCTGATGCCTAAAGCCTAAAGGTCTTTGATCCTCCATATCCATTACACAGTTACTCAGTGTTGCGTCAGGTGTTAGTGACGTGTTGCAGCTCTTGTTCTAGGTCGGTTAGTTTGTACTACTGTACTAGTACTACACTAGATCACAGAAAACGTGTTTTTAGTCTGTAAAAAATATGATTGATAAATGTTATTTAACTTGATACTGTTAAAGTTGATAATAAAATAATTAATATTTGGAGAAAACAAATTATTGTAATAAATAGTAATGTAAGTAATAATAAAATAATTATAAGCATTAACTAATATTATATTACAGTGTTGTTGAGTATTACTTCACTACCTTTATTCAGCTGTAACTTGTCGGGATCTGGTCTAGAGTTGCTTGCAGTTGCCTGAGTTGCATTCACCACACAATTGAAATGCAGTCTAGGTTCAATTTGTATACTTCTAGGTTCAATTTTTATAATTTGGATGAGAAATAAAAGCAGGTTAATATTTGATATAGCGGTGATTGTATAGCTAAGTTTCCAATTGAAAAAAAAAATAATTGTGTTAAAAGTAAAAGAAAGGCCACATGTGATCATTTTCAGTATTTTCACTTACTGCAGCATCATAGTAAACTAAATGGGGTATGTCTAAAGCAAAGGAGACACCTTTAATTATTTAGAAACCCCAATAACCACAGGTTGTAGAAGGTTTAGTAAATAAGTTAATTATACAATGGCTCAAGCAAAGGCAGCATTTATGCAATCTCTTTGTCAATTGAAGTAAGTGTTTTTAAGAGCGAATCCTGAGGCAAGAATTTTTGGCTATCCTCCGAATAACGGTCCTAAATTATAGAGGCGGGAAATATACCCTAACAGGGCCTCAGTCACATGTAAATTGGGGACTTCCGGCGACCTCCGCCGCCGCCAAGAGTTTCTCCAATGCCGCTATGCGCGGTAAGCTGGGGGAGATGCGGTAGCTGCTGCTAGTAAGTCCCAGCCATCTAGTTTAGCCCCGCTCCACGCGGTGTGGGAGATACTCTCAATTTCTTATTGTATCTTTAGATAATTATTTGTTCCTGCATTTATGGTTTTTTTCTAATATATGTCAACTCTTTTTCTGTTTTTTAGAATGGCTGGATCTCCTTTAACCCCGGAGAGTAAACTTTCTCTTATGAAAAGGAACTTGCAGGTGAGTTCTTGACGTTATCTGGTAAAGTCCGTCAGTTCTTTCAATGCTTTCTTTTATCTTTTACTAACGCACACTAAATGTGTTTTAAAAAATTCAAAACATGTATGCTCCAGTAAGTGATCTGTTATATGTTGTGTTTTTACAGTGAGTTGCTTTTGGTAAAAAATTGGAACATGTATTAATTATTGCCCCATTGTTTCATGAAATTCTAGGAAGTCCTTGGCGAGGAGAAATTGGTGGAGATCCTGAAGTCACGGGACATCAAAATCTACTGGGGCACGGCAACTACTGGCAGACCTCATGTAGCCTACTTTGTGCCCATGTCTAAAATAGCTGACTTCCTGTCGGCAGGATGTGAGGTAGGCTGTTGTCTCTGTAGTCAAGCCTGGCAACAGGATGTGAGGTAGGCTGTTGTCTTGTAGTCAAGCCTAGCAGCAGGATGTGAGGTAGGCTGTTGTCTCTGTAGTCAAACCTGGCAGCAGGATGTGAGATAGGCCGTTGTCTCTGTAGTCAAGCCTGGCAGCAGGATGTGAGATAGGCCGTTGTCTCTGTAGTCAAGCCTGGCAGCAGGATGTGAGATAGGCCGTGGTCTCTGTAGACAAGCTATAAGGCAGGGCTAGCTTTTCAACTAAGTTTACTCACAGACCAAAACTTTCAAAATGGAGATTGTCTCAGGCCTAGGCCCCAACATAGAAATGTAATTGACACAATGCAGCTGGCAGTAAGCTGCGGGCCATATTTGACCTACGGGCCGTCACTTAAATAGCTCTGTTGTAAAGTATTTTCATTTTGGTTATCTAAGTGTTGGATTTAATTATGTTGGTGTTGTGTCCGATGATTTTGTGAAGGTTGTGTTGGTTTGAGATCATTATCCATGTATCCTGTAGTTGTGAGAGTATTCATAATTGACTGTCTCACATTATCAGCAATCGGACATCTTTGTGTGGGTTCCGAGGCCCAGCTTTTGGTGAAAAAAAAATAAACCCACTGCTCCTCTAGGAAAGGAGGGGGGGGGCAACAGTCTGCACACAATTAACCAGATCTATAAACAAGACCTAGAACAAGATCAGTGGTCAGAAATGGGTGATAAACCAGTACTTTCTGCTGGAGTTTACAACCAGTGACAGCGAAGGAAGAAGAAATGGGTGATAAACCAGTACTTTCTGCTGGACAGCGAAGGAAGAAGAAATGGGGATAACCACAGTTTACAACCAGTGACAGCGAAGGAAGAAGAAATGGGTGATAAACCAGTACTTTCTGCTGGAGTTTACAACCAGTGACAGCGAAGGAAGAAGAAATGGGTGATAAACCAGTACTTTCTGCTGGAGTTTACAACCAGTGACAGCGAAGGAAGAAGAAATGGGTGATAAACCCAGTACTTTCTGCTGGAGTTTACAACCACGTGACAGCGAAGGAAGAAGAAATGGGTGATAAACCAGTACTTTCTGCTGGAGTTTACAACCAGTGACAGCGAAGGAAGAAGAAATGGGTGATAAACCAGTACTTTCTGCTGGAGTTTTACAACCAGTGACAGCGAAGGAAGAAGAAGAAATGGGATGAAAAACCAGTACTTTCTGCTGGAGTTTACAACCAGTGACAGCGAAGGAAGGAAGAAGAAATGGGTGATAAACCAGTACTTTCTGCTGGAGTTTACAACCAGTGACAGCGAAGGAAGAAGAAATGGGTGATAAACAAGTACCAGTACTTTCTGCTGGAGTTTACAAAACCAGTGACAGCGAAGGAAGAAGAAAAATGGGTGATAAACCAGTACTTTCTGCTGGAGTTTACAACCAGTGACAGCGAAGGAAGAAGAAAATGGGTGATAAACCAGTACTTTCTGCTGGAGTTTACAACCAGTGACAGCGAAGGAAGAAGAAATGGGTGATAAACCAGTACTTTCTGCTGGAGTTTACAACCAGTGACAGCGAAGGAAGAAGAAATGGGTGATAAACCAGTACTTTCTGCTGGAGTTTTACAACCAGTGACAGCGAAGGAAGAAGAAATGGGTGATAAACCAGTACTTTCTGCTGGAGTTTACAACCAGTGACAGCGAAGGAAGAAGAAGAAAACCAGGGTGGAGTTTACAACCAGTGACAGCGAAGGAAGAAGAAATGTGATAAACCAGTGGAGTTTACAACCAGTGACAGCGAAGGAAGAAGAAATGGGTGATAAACCAGTACTTTCTGCTGGAGTTTACAACCAGTGACAGCGAAGGAAGAAGAAATGGGTGATAAACCAGTACTTTCTGCTGGAGTTTACAACCAGTGACAGCGAAGGAAGAAGAAAATGGGTGATAAACCAGTACTTTCTGCTGGAGTTTACAACCAGTGACAGCGAAGGAAGAAGAAATGGGTGATAAACCAGTACTTTCTGCTGGAGTTTACAACCAGTGACAGCGAAGGGAAGAAGAAATGGGTGATTTACAACCAGTACAGCGAAGGAAGAAGAAATTTCTGCTGGAGTTTACAACCAGTGACAGCGAAGGAAGAAGAAATGGGTGATGAAAAACCAGTACTTTCTGCTGGAGTTTACAACCAGTGACAGCGAAGGAAGAAGAAATGGGTGATAAACCAGTACTTTCTGCTGGAGTTTACAACCAGTGACAGCGAAGGAAGAAGAAATGGGTGATAAACCAGTACTTTCTGCTGGAGTTTTTACAACCAGTGACAGCGAAGGAAGAAGAAGAAATGGGTGATAAAACCAGTACTTTCTGCTGGAGTTTACAACCAGTGACAGCGAAGGAAGAAGAAATGGGTGATAAAAACCAGTACTTTCTGCTGGAGTTTTACAACCAGTGACAGCGAAGGAAGAAGAAATGGGTGATAAACCAGTACTTTCTGCTGGAGTTTACAACCAGTGACAGCGAAGGAAGAAGAAATGGGTGATAAACCAGTACTTTCTGCTGGAGTTTACAACCAGTGACAGCGAAGGAAGAAGAAATGGGTGATAAACCAGTACTTTCTGCTGGAGTTTACAACCAGTGACAGCGAAGGAAGAAGAAATGGGGTGATAAACCAGTACTTTCTGCTGGAGTTTACAACCAGTGACAGCGAAGGAAGAAGAAATGGGTGATAAACCAGTACTTTCTGCTGGAGTTTACAACCAGTGACAGCGAAGGAAGAAGAAAATGGGTAATACTTTCTGCTGGAAACCAGTGACAGCGAAGGAAGAAGAAATGGGTGATAAACCAGTACTTTCTGCTGGAGTTTACAACCAGTGACAGCGAAGGAAGAAGAAATGGGTGATAAACCAGTACTTTCTGCTGGAGTTTACAACCAGTGACAGCGAAGGAAGAAGAAATGGGTGATAAACCAGTACTTTCTGCTGGAGTTTACAACCAGTGACAGCGAAGGAAGAAGAAGAAATGGGTGATAAACCAGTACTTTCTGCTGGAGTTTACAACCAGTGACAGCGAAGGAAGAAGAAATGGGTGATAAACCAGTACTTTCTGCTGGAGTTTACAAACCAGTGACAGCGAAGGAAGAAGAAATGGGTGATAAACCAGTACTTTCTGCTGGAGTTTACAACCAGTGACAGCGAAGGAAGAAGAAATGGGTGATAAACAGTACTTTCTGCTGGAGTTTACAACCAGTGACAGCGAAGGAAGAAGAAGAATGGGTGATAAACCAGTACTTTCTGCTGGAGTTTACAACCAGTGACAGCGAAGGAAGAAGAAATGGGTGATAAACCAGTACTTTCTGCTGGAGTTTACAACCAGTGACAGCGAAGGAAGAAGAAATGGGTGATAAACCAGTACTTTCTGCTGGAGTTTACAACCAGTGACAGCGAAGGAAAGAAGAAATGGGTGATAAACCAGTACTTTCTGCTGGAGTTTACAACCAGTGACAGCGAAGGAAGAAGAAATGGGTGATAAACCAGTACTTTCTGCTGGAGTTTACAACCAGTGACAGCGAAGGAAGAAGAAATGGGTGATAAACCAGTACTTTCTGCTGGAGTTTACAACCAGTGACAGCGAAGGAAGAAGAAATGGGTGATAATAAACCAGTACTTTCTGCTGGAGTTTACAACCAGTGACAGCGAAGGAAGAAGAAAATGGGTGATAAACCAGTACTTTCTGCTGGAGTTTACAACCAGTGACAGCGAGTGACAGCGAAGGAAAGGAGAAATGGGTGATAAACCAGTACTTTCTGCTGGAGTTTACAACCCAGTGACAGCGAAGGAAGAAGAAATGGGTGATAAACCAGTACTTTCTGCTGGAGTTTACAACCAGTGACAGTGGTTGACAGTACTTTCTGAAGTTTTTACAACCAGAAGAAGGAAGAAGAAATGGGTGATAAACCAGTACTTTCTGCTGGAGTTTACAACCAGTGACAGCGAAGGAAGAAGAAATGGGTGTTTACAAACCAGTACTTTCTACTTTTCTGCTGGAGTTTACAACCAGTGACAGCGAAGGAAGAAGAAATGGGTGATAAACCAGTACTTTCCGCTGGAGTTTACAACCAGTGACAGCGAAGGAAGAAGAAATCGGTGATTAACCCAGTACTTTCTGCTGGAGTTTACAACCAGTGACAGCGAAGGAAGAAGAAATGGGTGATAAACCAGTACTTTCTGCTGGAGTTTACAACCAGTGACAGCGAAGGAAGAAGAAATGGGTACTTTCTGATAGTTGTACAAACCAGTACTTCTGCTGGAGTTTACAACCAGTGACAGCGAAGGAAGAAGAAATGGGTGATAAACCAGTACTTTCTGCTGGAGTTTACAACCAGTGACAGCGAAGGAAGAAGAAAATGGGTGATAAACCAGT